GTTATTGTAGTTCGTCTAAGTTTGTGAATGGTAAGCTTCATTGGATTATTATGCGTAAAGGTCGTTGGGGCATCATGTCTATTGATTTGGTTGATGAGAAATGGGGAAAGGTGGAGCTACCCTGCTCCAACAAAGAAGGAGATTTAAAGCTTGGAGTGTTGGGAAATGATCTTTCGGTGGTCTGTAAGAATCATGAGAGAACTCACTCTGATGTGTGGGTCATGAAGGAGTATGGATTTAAAGAGTCTTGGACAAAACTGTATACCATCAGGTATCCTGAGAACTATAAGCTTTCTCCGCCACTTTTCATGTATACTAAAGGTGAAATTCTGCTCATGTTTGAATCAACTTTAGCAATATACAATCCAAAAAATGGCTCTATCACACATCCAGAGGTTATTAATGTTGACGGCAGTATTAAGGCGGCACTCTGCATCGAAAGCCTAGTTTGTCCAGATTTACCAAACGGAGATTGAAAGATGTCAGAACTCAGGTGAATGACCGTATTCCTTTGCTGCATTTTTCACGTGTTTTAAAATTCTGCTTATTTTGTCAAATATTGAACAAGATGTTGCATATTCAAGGACCATTTACACCATATCTACTTAGATATCTTGGTTGTCCTTTTTCTGTTTTTGCCTACACCCTAGGAACAACAGTGTTTTGCAAGAACATTTTTATATCTTTCTTAGTTATTATTTTTCTTGTATAGTAGACTAATTTTAGAATGTTATCCAAAATGTTCAAAATAAATACCCCAGATATTCCTACTTAAAATGATGTATCAATTCTAATAGTAGCCTGCTAAATAAAGTAAGAGTAAAGAGCACCAAGGCGCAAGTGAATATGCCAATGATTATTGGCATAGCCCTTGGAAGAATCAAAGCTTAAAGTTAAACATGTTTAATGATCATTTTTAGTGACACTTGTTGTGGAGATAGATGAATTAGAGAGATCTTTGAATAACAGTTAACTAACTTGTGGTATATTACAAAGTTTGGATGATTTCCCTTGCTGCTAATATCTTCCTTTTATTTCTTTAGTTAATCAAAAGGCGGAATCTTCTTTCACTTTAGTGATACCATTGAGTTGGGAAAAGTGAGTTGAAAGTGTTAAGCTGCTATAATCTTGAGTGTATCCGATTGGATATGTATTTTGCTGAGCTTTACTTGGATATGTATGAGACATATCCCATTTAAAACTTAATGGCCCAGACTTGCTTAACTAAATAACTGTCATGACCATAGTTGAGAAGGTAGATGTTACCATCATTTTAAGTTAACAAAAACTGTCTTAACGTATAAAGAAATCCTCATTTTTCTGAAGTTTGAATCATTTTGGGTTGAGCATAGGCTCAGTTGGAAGTGCTGATTTGCAATGCAGTGTCCAAAACACTCTGAAACTTACATCATTCTTTGTATTTCATCTTTTTCCCCTTTACAGATAGGAAGATCAGTTTCTTTTTCTTTTTCAACCTATATACTCGCGAGTTCAACTTTTTTCATTTTCTTTGACCTTCTTGTGTCCTTTTATTCAACTGCTGATACAACATAACTCACTTCTAGATGCAGGCAGCAACGTTATCTCTTCCCTGTCATTTTTAAATTAAAAGCTTTTTAATTTTAAAAAGGGGTCTGGATAGCCTATTCCTTGTGTGAACCTTCTTTCTCTGAAATAATCTTTTTGTGACGTAACCAAAGGCACACAACTCGCAAGCAAACCGGAAAGGAGAATGTACATGGATATTTCTTTGGTTATGTCTCCAAAAGAAATGAACATTTGACCTGGCAAATAGGTTGATGTGGGCTTTCTTTGAAACCAACCTTTAGGGGTTTAAACTGATATTTAGCTCATAAATTTCGCACATCAATAAGAACAACTTATACTCACATATTGTTGATGATTGCAGGTTTGTTGTAGAATCATACATGTATTCAGGGGAACATATATACTTACTACCTGATGCTTTAGCAACTACTTAGGAGAAGCAGACGCAAGCTTCTTCTTGCAATAGCCGGCCAAATGACTACAGGATCATCTGTCTACTCTACCTCAATCACCATATCGGACCTTACAGAAAAGGTTTTTCCATACTAGGAAGTAAGATGATATCCCTAGGGGTATTTTACGTGCAGAAGCTCTCTTGCTAGTAGAAGTAAGAGTAGCAAGGTTAGGATGCTAATGTATCATGTACTTTCTGTAATAGTGACGAGGAGGGGGCTAGTGTGTTATGATAAACCTCATCTTCGGATTTTGTTGTTCATTGATCAGGTCCCTAAGGACTCTTCAGGTACGCATTTTGTAGGAGAGTCGCGGGTTGTAAAAACTCTATGATGCTACTTAATTTTGTTGAAGGAAGCGAGAAACGCTCATAAATTGAACAGAAAGTTAAACTTGTTAGTAGGAACATAATCGTCCAAGTTTATGCTCTTGTTTTCTTTGTTTTTAAGATTCTACTTGCTGTACACAATTAGATGTTTGATAAACTATCCCCTGTAATTAAAACCCAACAAATTTGAACATCTATTGATTACATCTTTAAAAGATTGAGTAGATAATTTGCTAATATTTTGTATTTAAAATAATTTATGTGAAATGAATTATAGATTAGGAAATAAATTAATATATAGATAAAGATATATTTTTATTTTATTTAATCAATTATAGAAGATTATTTTATAACATATTCTATATGATAATATCACAAGTGGATTTGGGGATTTTTTCCAAAGTTCAAATTAGAGATTTTTCTAAATTCACATTTTTTATAATTATTCATATTAGGTAAAGATTTTCTTTCACAATAAGTGCATCTACATATTTATTCTTTCGATTCTTATTTTCCAAGTACATCATGTATCCAACATATCATGAAACATCATACTAACTATCAATTATACGAGATGTTTTAATGAACATCATGTGAAGATTTTGCCCATTAACCCTTTGAAATAGGATAAAATCCTCATATGTGAATTCTTCTAACTTGTACAAATATGGACTTTGGGACAAGGCACAAGTACTCTCCTAGATTATGATCGAAATCTCACCGACACATTTAAAAATAACTAGGGTCCTATTACCCCTTAAACTAATTTAAAATGGAATAAATACACTATAAACTCTGACATGGCATAGGGAATGTCCACTCTCTTAAAGGCTAGTAATGAGTGCACAAATTGGACACATGTCATTTTTTTATTGGTAACTTTAGAATTAGTTAGTACGCATATTTATTGATATATATATATTATTTTTTATTTTTTTATTTCATACTTTGTAAAATCTTTATTTTAATTTCTTTCTCACTTTAAACTTTTATTAAAATTAATTTATTGTCTTTCCACTTTTAAAATTAAGATTTTCAAGAAGTTCTACCTTTTTTCAAAGTGTAATAGGTAAAAAAAAATGTGTACTTTCTTGATTTGTCAAAATGAACAAGTAAAAAAGGAAAATTGTACAAGTAATTAGAGACAAAGTGAGTATATCAAATAACGACTCTCGATGAGTTAAATTTTGAAAACAGTATAATTAGGGACAAACTCTGTGTAGGTTTTTAAAAAACTACCATACTCATTTTGCGAATCTCGCAATTTTCGACTGATTATTTGACTAATGACTATAACTTCTGCTAATCATGGTATTTATTCCGTCTTTTTCATCCCGTGCCCGTACTGCATCAGAAAATCTTTGTTTTTAATTTCTCTTCGCAACACATTTTAAGGGCTAAAACTTTCTCTGGACATCTTTCTTTTATTTAAATCATTGATCGCATATCTATAAGCAGGAGGTTTTGCGTTCACTATAAAGCCTACACTCGTCCATTCCTTTCAAGCTTGATCCTTCCCTTAGATTCGTTACCTTGTTTGACAAAACTCATTGGTACCGCATTGATCGTAATTCGATTTGAGAACCTTCTCTCATATATTCCCTTCATCAAGTCTTCATCAACAATCAACTTAAACTAGAGAGAAACAGAATTATACATTGACTGAATTTACTGTAAAATATTGAGCAGCAACGAAAGAAAGAATAAAGAGAAAACTCGGCAGAAACAAATTTGATTCAAAATGAAAAAACTCCACAAGAACCCTAAAAAAGAAAAAGAACATAAAAAAAAATTCAAAAAATGAATGAGCAAAGGCGCAAAAGAGGAGCAACACTAACGTTAGCGCCAAAGATAATAATAATATAATCACAACTATATCAATAAAAGAACTGCATCACAAAAAAAATTCCACCGTAAGAATCTCAAAAATTTTAAAAAAAAAACATAACAATTAACATTGAGCGGAAACTTGATCAATTTGTAGCAAAATCAAGAGGTTAGTTCAAGAAAGATTTCCAAAGGAGAGAAAACCTTATTTAAAATGACGAATGCAATAAATATACTTAAAATTGATTAAAAAGTAAAATATATCACCTAAATTTAGATAAAAGAGAAATGTCCATATAAACTCTCTCTTGAATAAAGGTGTAGAACGATTAAAAAACACCCTATATTACCAACCAAAAAAAAAGGAGAGTTATATATAAAAGTAGTAAATATATAACGTGCGGCAAAAACTTCAGCTTTCGATAGAAACAATAAAGCAATGATCAAATTTTGTTGAATTATACTTCAAAGAATGAAGCTTTCGATGAAACGTTTGCTAACCGAAATGAAATCTGAAGCTTCTCATCGACGCCCAAAATGGAGGAGACTGAGAAAGCGTACTGAAATTTCAAGCAAAGATTCAATGGGGTGTTTGCCAGAAGAACTGATCGCAGCAATTCTTGTAAGAGTTCCCGTTAAATACCTCTTACAGTTCAAATGTGTTTCCAAAAATTGGTTTAATTTGATTTCCAGTCCTGAATTTGTGAAAACCCATCTTAGTTTTTCTGCTAATGATTACACCCGCCATATATCTCTGTTACAATTTCGGGAAGATATTAAATATTGTTCTGTTAGCTCTTTATTTCATAACTCTGTTAATGAGGCACTTGATTTGGATTGTCCCATGAAAAATCCACCTCAACGTGTCTATATTTCGGGTTCTGTCAATGGGTTGGTTTGTCTTGCCGATGGGTTTAGTGGGTTGGTGCTATGGAATCCATCAATTAGAAAGTTCAAGAAAGTGTTCGGCTTTGTGCCTACACAGATGCGTGAATGCTGGTCCAAGTGTGGTTTTGGATATGATGAGGTTCACGACGATTATAAGGTAGTGGGTATTTTTAGTAGCATGATTAAGGCCAATTTCGAGGCCGCGATATATAGTTTAAACAGTGATTCTTGGAGAACACTTGAAGATTTTAAACCTGGGGTGAGTTACTGTGGTGAGGCTAAATTTGTGAATCATAAGCTTCATTGGATTACATTTCGTAGACGTCGTATGCGCATCACGTCTATTGATTTGGTTGATGAGAAATGGGGAAAGTTGGAGCTGCCCAGCTACAACAAAGGACGAGATTTGAAGCTTGGAGTGTTGGGAAGTGATCTTTCGGTCCTCTGTAATAATGATGAGAGAACTCACTCGGATGTGTGGGTAATGAAGGAATATGGAGTTAAAGCGTCTTGGACAAAACTGTATACCATCAGGTATCCTGAGAACTATGAGCTTTCTCCGCCCCTTTTCACGTATAATAAAGGTGAAATTCTACTCGCATTTAAATCAACTTTAGCGATATACGATCCAAAGAATGACTCTCTCACATATCCAGAGGTTCCTAATGTTGAGGTTACTGGTTTTTACAACAGAATTGAGGCGGAACTTTGCATCGAAAGCCTAGTTTGTCCGGATTTACCAAACGAAGATTGAAAGATGTCAGAACTCAGTGGAATGACTGTTGTAATAGTTAACAACCTGTAAGTATTCTTTCACTGCATTTTTCACGTGTTTTAAAATTCTGCTTATTTTGTCAAATATTGGATGTTGCATATTCAAGGACCGTTTTTACACCATATCTGCCTAGATATCTTGGTTGTCCTTTTCTGTTTTTGCCTACACCCAAGGAACAATAATGTTTTGCAGGAACATTGGGCGTTCTTTTCTCCTTTTAAGCAGTGTTTTAGGGGTACATGTTGTTTCACTAGACATAGTAAGAGTAAAGATCACCACGGCACAAATGAATATGCCAACAATCATTGGCATAGTCCTTAGGCAGAATCAAAGCCTAATGATCGTTTTTAGTGACACTTATTAAGGATATAGATGAATTACAGAGATCATTAAATAACAGTTAATTAACCTCTGATTTTATAAAGATTGGATGATTTTCCTTGCTGCTAATAGCTTCCTGTTAGTTTTCTATAGTTAATCAAAAGACAGAATCTTCTTTCACTTGAGTGATACCGTTGACTTGCAAAAAGTGAGTTGTAGTGTTTAACTGATATAATCTGGACTCGAGTGTATCAGGCTCTTCTTCACTAGTCATTCTCTCTGTTTCCTAAGCTTTACTTGGATGTTTTACACATGTCCCATTTAAATTTTAATGGCCCAGATTTGTTTAACTAAACAACTGGCGTGACCATAGTTGAGAAAGTAGTAGAGATGGCAATGGACCAGGGCTGTTGCGGTGCGGGTTTGGTCTAAACCCGCAAAGGCTTCAACCCGCCCCACACCGCACCACATAACATTTTTTTTCTATTTTCAACCCGCCCCGCGTAGCAAAGAAACTTAGTTTTAAAATTATTTCAGTTTAAACAAAACAGATTAACATTTCAGTTTTTCTAAAAATGGAGAGATAGATGAAAACAGATATGAAAGATGAATACTTTAGACCTGATATTGGCTTCAATTAAGCAACATTGTTTCTGATCATTTTGTTATATAATACATTGCTCAAAATTTGACCAATTCCCAAAATGTCTTTCTTAATTTTTGTTCTTGTATAGTAGACTAAATTTATAATGTTACCCAAAATGTTCAAAATAAATACCCCAGATATTCCTACTTAAAATGATTTATCAATTCTAATCTTGGAATATTACTCAAAATATTCAAAATAAATATATTTTTTCCTCTTTACAATAGGAAGATCAATTTCTTTTTCTTTTTCAACCTTTATGCTAGTGAATTAATTTTTCATTTTCTGTGACCTTCGTTGCTTCCATTTATTCAACTGCCTTCAAAACATTGCTCACTTCTAGATGTTGGCAGCAACGTTAGCTCTTCCCTTTCAATTTTAAATTCTAAGCTTTTTATTGTAAAAAACTTGTTTAGGGGTCAGGAATTCCTATTCTTTGCGTGATCTGTCACTCTCAAGTTGAATCTCAATTTGATGTAACCAAAAGTACACAACATTTTACCATCCTTCAGGGGCTTAAACTGGTATTTTGCTCTTAAATTGCCTCGTCAATAAGGAGAACAACTTATACCTGCTGTAAGGCCCACAACTGAATTCATATTCAACACCATCGTAGTACCCTTAGTTTCCCCTTCAACTACATCTTCTCTGGTAGGCTCAAAGAATTCTTCTGTATCATTTTCATCTGTGTTGTGTTGGGTGCCTCTGAAATGATCAATAGGTTAAGTTGCCTATTTTTACAACGATGATTGAGGCCAAATATTTCATCACATCTGAAACATAACACTGGCTCTCTTTTTCGTGCAAATTTTAAATCATACAACCTTTTGAATTGTCCCTCAGATTTTGCTACTGAAGTCACCTTGAAGCTAGTCGAATTTGCAGTTATATGAATCAATGTTACGCCTTCTGCTCCAGCTCTTGAGTCACGTGTTTCAAGTATGTTTGCGATTCGAGGATAATTGGGTCTGAACCCAACTGATTTATTGTTTGAACTTCCTCTACTTGGTTCAAATTTAAAACCCTGAACTTGCTGCAAAACAGAATTTTGATCCTTCCCCTTTTAGCCATCTCCATAATCTCCCTCAATGTTTCATCCCATAAAAGCATCAGTTCTGCTCAAATTTCCTCTTTCAGCCCATTCAAAAACACTCCAGATAACTTTCCATCAGACACCTCCTTCCTCCTTCATAGATGCCGACACCTTTTCAAATTCTTCACGAAACGCGGTAACCATAGTAACCTACTAGACAAAGTAAGAGTAAAGAGCACCAAGGTGCAAGTAAATATGCCAATGATTATTGGAATAGCCCTTGGCAGAATCAAAACTTAAACATGTTTAATGTTCATTTTTAGTGACACTTGTTGAGGAGATAGATGAGTTACTGAGATCTTTGAATAATAGTTGATTAACTTCTGATATATTACAAAGTTTGGATGATTTTCCTTGCTGCTAATAGCTTCCTTTATTTCTGTAGTTAATCAAAAGGCGGAATCTTCTTTCACTTTAGTGATACCATTGAGTTGGGAAAAGTGAGTTGAAAGTGGTTAACTGCTATAATCTTGAGTGTATCAGGCTCATCTTCACTAGTCATTCTCTATTTCACTGAGCTTTACTTGGATATGTATGAGACATGTCCCATTTAATATTTAATGGCCCAGATTTGCTTAACTAAATTACTGACGTGACCATAGTTGAGAAGGTAGATGTTACCATCATTTTAAGTCAACAAAAACTGTCTAACTTTACTAAAAAATCCTCATTTTTCTGAAGTTCGAATCATTTTGGGTTGAGCATAGGCACAGTTGGAAGTGCTGCTTTGCAGTGTCCAAAACACTCTGAAACTTACATCTTTCTGTTTACTTCATATACTTGCGAGTAAATTTTTTCATTAGCTTTGACCTTCTCTGTGTCCTTTCATTCAACTACGGATAAAACATTGCTCACTTCTAGATGTAGGCAGCAACATTATCTCTGCCCTCTCAATTTTAAATCAGAAGCTTTTAATTTAAAAAAGGGGTCAGGATATCCTATCACTTGTGTGAACCTTCTTTCTCTGAATCGATCTCTTTATGATGTAACCCAAGGAACACAACTCGCCAGCAAACCGGAAAGAATTTACATGGATATTTCTTTTGGTTATGTCTCCATAAGAAATGAACATTTTACCTGGCAAATAGGTTGATGTGGGCTTACTTTAAGACCAACCTTTAGGGGTTTAAACTGATAGTTAGCTCATAAATTTCGCACATCAATAAGAACAACTTATACTCACATATTGTTTATAATTGCAGGTTGTTGTAGAATCATACATGTGTTCAGGGGAACATATATACTTACTTGCTGATGCTTTGGAAACTACTTGGGAGAAACAGATGCAAGCTTTTTCTTTCAATAGCTGGCCAAATGACTACAGGATCATCGGTCTACTCTACCTCAATTCACCAATCGAACCTTATACAAAAGGTTTTTCCATATTAGGAAGTAAGATGATATCCCTAGGGGTATTTTACGTGCAGAAGCTCTCTTGCTAGTAGAAGTAAGAGTAGCAAGATTAGGACTATACTACTATATGCAAATGTCTGTACTTGTTGTAATAGTGACGAGGAGGGAGCTAGTGTGTTATAGTGCACCTCACCTTCCGATTTGTTGTTTATCGATCAGAATTCAGGTCACTAAAGACTCTTCAGGTATGCGTTTGTAGGAGAACCGCGGGTTGTAAAAACTCTATGATGTTAGTTAATTTTGTTGAAGGATGCAAGAAGCGCTCATAAATTGAACAGAAAGTTAAACTTGTTAGTTGGAATGTAATCATACAAGTTTATGCTCGTTCTTTTTTTTTTTCGTTTTTAAGATTCTACTTGTTGCATACACAATTAGATGTTTGATAACTTGCTCTGTAAAATCTACAGTTCATGCTGTACGTTTGAAGTAAATTACTTGTAGTTAAAAGCCAAAAAAATTGAACATCTATGGATTACATCTTTAAAGGAGTGAGTAGATAATTTGCAAAATATTCTGTATTTTAAATAAAGTATGTGAAATGAATTATAGATTAGAAAACAATTTAATATATCGATAAAAATATATTTTTATATTATTTAATCAATTATAGAAGATTATTTTATAACTTGTTATATATGACAATGTCAAAACATACTTAGTATAATCTCACAAGTGAAGTTTGAGAAGTGTAAGATTTATATGTACAGATCTTATTTTTATCTTTATGGGGTAGCGAGACTATTTTTGATAGACTGTCGTTTAAAAAAAAAAGGTATAATCAAAACAAAATTGAAAGAAAAATAAGGATGATAAAATAAAACAAATGCAGCAATTTGAAGCTGTAGAAATGAAAAATAAAATACTACTATAACTATAAGAGAACTAAATAACACTACTAAACAAGGAGAAGATGAGATTACCTCATGTCACATTAAGTGCGACAACACTCATCTATCGATTACCATATTATTTTAATTTTTGACCTTCATAGCTTCAATCTAAGATCATATCATCAATCAAAAAAAATTATATCTAATCTTTTCCCGTGCTTCTTTGATCTACCCCTAAATAGTTATAGAGAAAGTTAAACTCTTTGAAAATATTAATCGTATTTTGAAATACTTTACGTTTCATTCTCGATATCATGATGTGAATTTTGATAATATTTCAGCAATTTATTGGTAGAATTTCGAAATATGTACATTTAACTAAAATACATTAATAAAATTTGAACACAAAAACATATTCAATTTGTTGAAAAATAACGTTCAATTTTCTTTTAAAATTTAATTTAGGCCCCCTTTATTTTTATTTTTTTTGATAAATTGTAAATACCAATAACAAATAAAGGGCCGATACACCTATAGAGCATAGGTTCTGTCTTTAAAGCCTCCAACTGGACAAGAGAACTAGTTACATGAAAAAAATGCTGAATTAATCTATGAGCTTTCTTGGATCCTCTAAACAATGCTATCCTCTCTTAAATTCTCTTTTTATCTGTGCAATTACTATCTCACTATTAACAGTTGTACTGCTAACCACATTATCATTCTATGCCTTGGTTGTGCTACAGATGTCCATATAAGAGCAGTTATTTTGTAGCCTATTCAGTTTACCTAGCTTTGCATTTTAACTGGTAGAAATTGAATATTGGCCTGAGTGGATCAAAGTATACCTCTCTTGTATGTACCATTTCTTCATATTGATCTTCAGTGCATTTAGTTCTTTTTCCCATACCTGATACCAGCTGCAATCTTGAGGCGGGGTATGTTCCCAAATGGAAACATCATTCCTCATATATAGCCCATGGACCCATTTTACCCACAGTATATCTTGTTTCTCTGATAACTGCCAGAGAAGATTGTCAACTGATGCAACATTCCAGTTGTTACATCCTTTCACATTCAGCCCTCCGAACTTTTTTGGAAAACAAATTTTCTCTCAAGCCAAAAGTGGCACTTTCCTCTTCTCTTCATTACTCCCCCAAATGTAGTTCCTACAAATCTTGTCAACCTCCTTGAGGAAGCTGAGTATAGAAAATAATACGGCAGTCACAACTTGAATTCTACCGGCATAAGATAGAAGTTAGGAATATTCGGTGCTAATTCAATTAGTGATCTTTGATTAACGTTTCAAGGACACTTCATCCAATTCTAAGCGTCAATGATCGCTAGTCAGCATATAACCCAACTAAATGAGTTGGGGTCGAATCCCACAGGGAGTGGTACGTGTTTAAGATTCAATAGGAAAGTACGAATATGATCAAGTCAGTCATAGGAATAGACATTATCGAATAAAAACATAATTCAAATCAGGGGGTGACACGAATGTCAAATAAGGGGGTTTTGGTTTTAATTATCAACTACAGCAGCAGCAAATCAACACGAAAATAACAATAATGAGATGGGTTCTTGGGATGTGATTCGATTGTAGGCTAATGTAGACAAATGGGTAATTGCAACAGTTAGGAAATAGCTGAATATTAGTGAATAAGCTAAACTATAGAGGAGGTAAACTTTCTCTCGAACAATTTACCTCGAATCAAGTCGATTTCTCTCTAACATCGACGAGCATGCAAAATAAGAACAACCTACGCCTTAGTCCATTCACTCTCTCGAGCTGAATGTGTAGAAAAGGGTTTAGGATTCATTTTCTCGAGCTGAACCCATGACAACCCAATACCCACAGACCATCAATCAATAATCTTGGTTTTTAAAACCTCTCTCTCGAGCAAGACAAAAACACAGAGGTAGAACTGCATTTGCAACTACAATTCTTTAAATTAAACCACAATTACGGATTGAAATCACTTCTAAACAGCATTTAAACTAACAATTAGCAATATCTATAAACTAAATCAACTCATAATCACACCCCAAGAATTGGAGTTTTAGCTAGACATTATAAAAAGATAAAAATCACTACCAAATTGAGTTTCCATCAACTGGGTAAGATTGATTTTGTCTTTACAAAGGTCCAAATTGAAGAATCTCAAAGACCCACTTCCAATTTCTCAAAAGTGAAAAACTGCAATTCTTCAAAGCTAAGGAAAACTTGTCTCAATACTCATAATTCGATATATTGAAAGTATGATACTTACTAATTGATAAAAGCTTCTAAACTAAATGTTCAAAAACGTATTTATAGTCGCCAATATGTTACGAAGGGCCATTCGGCGCAGTAAGTCGGGATCGCCGAGTTGCCTTTGGTCAATTCCATCACCTTTTTGCCTTGGCCTTCAGCATCCTCCAGGTCTGTAAATTTGGGTGATCTAACACTGCATCGTGGAACCACTCGGCGATCCACCGACTGCTCATTTCTCTCGCCAACTTGATTTTCTCCTTCAGGGCTTGGCACACTGGAGCTTTAGGAGGTTAAGAGGTTGTTCGGAGACTCGCCAAGTAGACTTGGCGATCACCAGGCGTACTTTTCTTCATTCTTTCTGCTCGCTTTGTTCCTTTTTCGCAAATTAGTGTCCTTGCTTTGTTCCTCAATCCAAATTCCTGAAAATCAAAGGTTTTACATTTGGCATAAAATAAGCATTTGAGGATACTAAATCATTATGAATAAAGCCCTAAATGAGTTCAAATCTCTGACTCATCAACTTTTTATTAATGTTTCAAGGACACTTCATCCAATTCTAAGTGTCAACGATAGCTAGTCAGTATATAACCCAACTAAATGAGTTGGGGTCGAATCCCACAGGGAGTGATACGTGTTTAAGATTCAATAGGAAAGTACAAATATGATCAAGTCAGTCATAGGAATAGACATTATCGAATAAAAACATAATTCAAATCAGGGGGTGACACGAATGTCAAATAAGGGGGTTTTGGTTTTAATTATCAACTACAGCAGCATCAAATCAACACGAAAATAACAATAATGAGACGGGTTCTTGGAATGTGATTCGATTATAAGCTAATGTAGACAAATGGGTAATTGCAACAGTTAGAAAATAGCTGAATATTAGTGAATAAGCTAGACTATAGAGGAGGTAAACTTTCTCTTGAATAATTTACTCCGAATCAAGTCGATTTCTCTTGAACATCGACAAGCATGCAAAATAAGAACAACCTATGCCTTAGTCCATGCACTCTCTCGAGCTGAATGTGTAGAAAAGGGTTTAAGATTCACTCTCTCAAGCTGAACCCATGACAATTCAATACCCACAAACCATCTTGATGTGGTATTTCTTCCATAGTGTCGCATCAAGTCGTGACATATCAAGATATTGTGTACCATAGATCTTCTTTGGACAAAAGCAGATTGGTTTTCTGCCACTATAGTGCAAATAACTCCTCTCTAACTAGCACACAAGACTTTTTGTCATGACACAGGGGTACACCCTAGATGTAACATGTCGTACTAGACCTCGAAATGCCTAACACAGGCCACTTAGCATATCATAATATAAAGTACATAGAAATGATGCGGAAATTTTAAAACTTTTCTTTACAATCGAAGTCTTTTATAAAAGCAAGCGGAAGTCTAAAACACTTTGTCTCAAACCATCTAAACTCAACTTTGAAGAAAACCTTTGGGACATAGCCCATACAATAGTCTAAAACATAAAGAAAAGACATACATGTAATAGTGACTTTATCCTCGATGCTATGAGGACTCACCAAATATTCAACTCCTTGCACTTCTAGAAACCTATCCTCAAGAATGGAACTCAATGTCGCCAAACCTTACATTTGATAAAAATGTAGGCAAGAGTATGCGTTAGTACAAAATCTACTAAATATATTAGCTAGCATAACATCATAGGAGCATAACAAAGTGTTATCCCATAAGACATAAGTCATAAGCATAAGAGATAATAACATAATCATAGCACAATCTCCAACATAGACATAATATAAGCATTAGTCATCATAAAGCATAACTCATATACATAGTCCATACTTAGACTTTCATACTATAAGAGAACCATTTCATAAGTATCCTCCAAAGTATACTCGTGCAATGCATGGATAAGACACCATAATCACATCCATGCTAAGTATCTGCTTTGGCCATCATAATCACACTCACCATCTCATGG